AGTTCTACCCTCCGAAATCACAAAAGAGTTCCCCTTCCGGGTCTGTATACTTTGTGACTTTGTTCCCGGTTACCGGGTCTGTATACACTCCCTTTTATTTTTACCCGGCTTATCAAGTTGCCTTATATATGATTGAATTTTTTAATGTTCGTATTTGTTTTTCAATGTTGTTTAGTCTTTAGAGTTTTTAGCACGAATAAGTGCTTGGCTGAATACTCTTCAAAATGCATTAGTCTACAGGTCAAAGATGTTTTTACTTTTAGCACCGACTTGATAATACTTGATTCAGTTTATTCATGAATGCCCCGGGGTCTTCCTTAAATCGTCAATGTACAAACTTTGATAAAAAGGTCAGCAGTGGTAACTGATGTCTATATGTAAATCATATATAAAATAGAATAAGTTTATAAATAACATTTTAGTTGGAACTACCAGAACATCAACATGCAAAGAGTCAGCATCAACATAGAAATGTGCTCATTACATTCATGAAAATGATACACAAATTGTCCGTTACTGCAAAGACCTTTCAATTTTGAACCGATCGAAGTGTGCCCCCGCGTTGCATGTACATCCACAAAACATTGACTATGGAGTCTGCGTAAACCAGACATGGTTAATCCGAATACAGCAGTAAATCGAAAGAAAATAAAATCCCCCTTTTTTCATTCTATTTGAGCAACATCCCGAAAACCCGACTTTATCAAAGAAAATCTTGCAACCCCACAGATTTCGATTTAAGAAGACTTCACTATCTGACTTTCTTATTCTTAAAATCAGTAATTTGAAGTCCTGATTTTACATTTTTTATGACAAAAGTTCCTATACATGTGCATTGCTTTTATTTTGCATTTCATTTGAAACTGTTAGGATTATAGCATATATTTTTCCTTTCAATCATGTAATTGTTTGGGTTTTTTTTCAGGCCTTGACGTCAGGTAGGCCAGAATGGACAACTTACCGCCCTCTGGGTTTCAGTTTACTGGTGACGACTATGGGCCTGTAGACTTTCCCAGCTCTCTACCCAGTGAGATGCAGGCGGGCATGGCATTTGCAGGAGGGGGCCCAGTATTCCCCCAGAATCAGAGGGGCAGTAGTTATGCCATGTCCCCATTTCACATGAACTACTCACAGCAGGCGAGCATGCCCTCAATGTCGAGTCTGCCCTCCAGCACGTTTCGGACTCGTTTCACTGACTATCCCCCAGACCAGAGTCCTCACCTGCCCATGCCAATTCCCTCGTCCGCCTCGGGGATTATCTCCGATCGCTTGCCCAGCTTCAGCAGTATTGTGTCCAGCAGCGGTAGCAGCAGTGCTGACCCTTCCAAGAGCAGCCAGGCTTTGTACTCTGGCATCAGCTCCTCTCTGGCAGGTCAGCAGCATGCATTCCAGCCCTCTGGCAGCCGCGGCCTGCCCGCTCACTTTGATTCTTCCTACTCGGAACAGGTCCCTGGCAAAAACTACTCCAAGTCATCCCCCCTGGGTTCTACCTCACCTGGCATGTCGTCCAGCAGCAACTTCAACAACATCCCGCATTCGTCAATCCTGCAGCATTCATCACATAACGGCAGTGGCCACCTGCCGGCTCTGTCTCCGCGCTCGTACAAAGAAGAGCCGACCACCCAGCAACAGTACTTGGCCAGTATGCACATGGATCGTCATGGCTCGTACCCGCATGGTGCTCTAGCTGGTGGTCAAAACCCAGGGGAATCAATGACCCTGCCTAAGTTTAAGCACAAATACTTATCCCACAGCCAACCAGCACCAAGGCGTCACATTGGACCATTTAAATTTTACATTCTTGGGAGCACGAGCCGAGGCTCTATTATCAACAAAGGCTCACAGACAAATGAGGAGAATATAGGGGAACTGAAAATAAAAATTCCAAAGAAGGAGATATACAGGTCTGACTCTGAGACAGAAATGTCTGATGATAACGAAGACCTGAGACGGAGAAGTCGCGGAACGTCTGGCGGCACATCAAACTCAAGAAGCCGTGGACAAACATCACACGCATCCCCACGTATTACATTCCCATATGATCCTGTGCCAGCGGCTACACCTACGCAAAACAAAGAGTACTCAGATTATAACAAGAACTCGAAAATGAAGACAATTATATCGCCGAGTTTTATGGACTCTGCTGGTAAGGCTACTATGACCACGTGTGTAGCAAATAAAGCGACTATTGTGACTGTGGGCATTGTTAGTCGACCAGGGAAGCTGCATTCTGCTGAGCCAGTCAACAGTCAGCACAGGGGCATCATGTCTACCAGTGACGGGTACCGAAACAAACATTTTGATCCACAGCACCCAGAAAACTATGAACAGCTCATGGAGGAAAGGAAAGCGAAAGCAAAAGACTTAGAGCAAGAGCGCATGGAAGTTAGTGTGCGCATTGACGACACTCAGTATGTACAAGTTGGCAATGCCAAACGTTGGCAGTGTAACCAGTGCGACAAGTCATACACCACCAAACACAATCTGGTCATGCATGTCCTCGACCATGAAGGGATCAAACCTCATCTATGCCTGAAGTGTGGCAAATACTTCAAGCAACTGAGCCACCTCAACACGCATATGCTGACGCATGACCAGATCAAGCCCCACACGTGTAACATGTGTGGCAAAGGCTTTACACAAATCTCCCACTTGAAGCGGCACACTGCGGTCAGCGAGAAGAATGGCTATTGTGCAAACCTGCGTTCCAAGCAAGGCAGCAGCCACCACCACTCTCCCTCGGCTGCTCCACCTATGGGAACTCCGACAGTAAGTAGCGTTACTGATGAACTGTTTGTCCATGTTCCTCTTAGAACCTGTAGCACTGTATACTCCCTTGCTTTTATTTGGATTTTGCTTTTTTGACATACTTATGATTGCTTCACTTTAACTTCCTAACAGAATTATAGCTTTTTATCATTTTTTTGTATGGTAGGCCACATTTCAGAGTGACACTCAAGCATTTGACATGCTTAATGTTGTTACTGTATCCATGAAAAGCTAATGAAATTGATTTGATGACTTCAGAATATATATCAATTTAAAATGGGGTGAGGTGCTTCAGAGACATAACAGACCTGCCAGGTACTCCGATAAAATCAGAGCGCTCTGATTTTCTTTTGACTATTGAAGAACCAGATTGGATTTGTATAAAATACATTTTTGTTCCTTGATTTCTTTTTCCATCGGCTACACACCAGTTATCATAAATGATGAATACAGTTTATTACGTGTCTTCATTTTTGTATGCACATTTATTTGCCACAATCGCTTCATGATAACATAATCTGAATCTACTAGGGTTGTGGAGACTCCCAATTTTTTTCCCAAAACTCAGAGTTTTAGGGAAGATTCTGATGAAAACTGTTTTTGGTCATGGAGGGGTTGGTAGGTCTGGACATAACAACAAATATTTATATTTTTTTAATAACATGTTGGCAGGCTTCAGGATAATGAGGGCTTTTTATCAAAGTAAGAAAAGAAAAGGCTAAAAATTAAAAAGAACAGTTGAAGAAATTTTCCCCTGAACTGAAAAAATGGGCTCTTGGACAGGAATTCGGGGAAGGGGGTTTTAACCCTGTCCGTATGTACGTCTTGTTTTACTATCGTATCCATACGACGTGGGGGACCTCTGTGCCACCACTTCCAAAGAGGGAATTTACTCGTTAATCCGATCCGTACACTTTGCATAGCATTCTTTCAAAATAATTTTTTGAGAAATACTGAAAGTTTCAAAGAGATCTTCGTACTAGAAGTATTCTAAAATGTGAAGAATACAACCCAGGGGGTACAAAATGACCCCAGGGCGTACGGATAGAAGGGTTAAAAAAAAAAGAAGATGCCTACTCGCTCTAACAGTCGATTTCATCTTTGACAGTTCGTAATCTTGTCATTCTTGCTCAGGATCTTTTTCGTGCTAGGAGTCAACTGAAGTGCTACATCGAAATCTGCTATGGCTCTTTAATGAAACTAAGAAACTGGATTAGAGGTCATTGTCAATGACAATGCCTTAAACTCGAAGGTGCAGGAAAGTTCTTTTGCTGTGTCCCAGATTTATGACCCTCTCAACAGCACTGGTGCAATTGATATGGTGCACGACTTGAGACAAAAGTTTTCATCCCAAAATGTTATTTCTACATAATGTTGAAGTTCTTGAGCCTCTTCAACTCATTAAAAAAAGTTTTAATCCTTTTTTAAACATTTTCTAGAAATGAAAGTTTAGCACTGGTATAATTTTTGCCCTGGAAGTGGATGTTGTGAACATAAATCAAGTTGAAAGTCTGTATAATCCTCTTTTTTTCTGACACTGGCTCTTACAAAATTTGGCTCTTAGATTTTTAAACTTATTTCATTGACATTATAATGTTTAAACTAAACCCCATTGATACTTATGTTTCAAAATGTAATCTCTAATCAACTTTGGCAAGTCAGTATGGAAGCAAGGGTTGTACCGCAAGATGAGTTTGTTGATTGGTTGTTGTTGTTGGGGGGGTTTTTTTAGGGGGGGGAGTGCCTTGATCTTGCATTCTGGTCAGTGTCAAAACTTCCCAAGATTGGTTTGAAAGAAAAAAAGTCTGCACTCTCCTAGCAGTCAAGGGGTGGTGGGGGTCATGTCTTGAAGTTGTCAGAATTAAGTTGTTCATGAAAGTTGTATTGCATGCAGCAACTGAAATTCATTTTGTATGAGAGGCTTTAAAAAATCTCCAGATAGAAGCTCCCTTTATGTTGCATATTGTGATAGGTTCAATGTTGGCCGCATGATGAATTATATGGTCTCTTGTTTGTTGTGTTTTTTTGTTTTGCTTCTTTTTTATAGTTCAGCAAGCATACATTTAATGTCATTGCATTATTTGAAAATGCTTGTTGCAGTCAATTTTATTCAATGAAATTTGAACACGAGTCAAGAAAAAGAAGGAAGAGGTCAGCATGGAACAGCATCTTTTGTCTCATCAGTCCTTCCGCTTGGCAGAACTTTTCATGGTGTAGATTATGTTGTCAATTCCCTTCTATTTCTATCCCTATGTTTCATTGTAAGTAATGTAAGGCTTCTATGTAGTAGCTATGACCTTGTTTCATTGACTGGTGCAGCTGTAGTCTGCATGATAGTAGGCTTGAATGGACGATGCAATATTCTTCATGGTTCCCTTTTATTCGAACAATGAATGCCATTTATGTATTCGTTTTATGGGCTCATAATATATGTCCTTTAGAAAAGAAAAGTGTGGACTTGCGGGAACCTTGATCCATAAATTCGTATATGTTACATCTTAGAGGTGTGCAGTGCATCTAATCATCTCCTGTGATTGAAGATAATAGGAAAGCATTGTTAAAAAGACTGGATCTGGTGTGAAAGTGCTTTAAGTTGGGAACTGATTGCAGTGCGACTATCTGTCTGACCTGCTTGCCCTTTTGTGTGCACTTCAGGCTCTGATCAGTGAGGCGCGGCAGTTCCAAGATCAGAACCAAAGCTTTGACTCCATGGAGGGGTATGACAGGGACGACCTGAAGCTTTCAGACGACAAATTAGGCCCGCCGGGAAAACTGATGTGTCGCTACTGTGACCGCAAGTTCCGCTACCCTAGTCAATTGAAGGACCACATGCAATCTCACAATGGCAACCGGCCATACATGTGCACCGAGTGCGGTATGGACTTCATGAAGGTGAGCACGCTATGGCCAGACACTGATGTCCTCTCGCTGGTTCCTTTCATACCACAGTTACGACAACTGCAGGGATCATAGTTTTCTGCCGAAACCCGCGGTGTCAGCTCCTTCCGTGGAGTTAACATAGCACTAAATTTACTTTTGTTCTCTTGCTGAACATCATGTGTTGAGGCGCAATTTTACTGTTGAAGCAGTTCTTTGATCAGTTTCTGTGATTTTGAAGCTCTCGTTGTGCTGTGATCCCTGCAACTGCTGTTTTGCTAGCACTTTTTGACCTCGGATTTTATTTTGATATTGGGGTGTTCACAAGCTAAGTAGTAAGCGCTTTCCTGAAAGTTAAGCGTCGACCGGTTTTTAAATGCCATCAAAAGTGTGGTAAAGGAACCAACAAGAACAATGCATCATCTTTTCAGGCCCATGTTTACTTTTAGAGATTTCGTACCTCCACAGATTAATGTGTATGCCATGGAGTTTCTTCACTCTATCCATAGTTTTCAACAAGGTTTTAGTACATCACCTTGACCAGGGAAAAAAATTTAAGAGACGGTTTTGACTTTGTTTATGTGTTCAGTTCAGGTCTTTTTCTATCAATTATATTACAATTTACATTCTTGGGACATGTGAAGTGCAAACCAACACTTCATATTAAACACATTGTTTGGTATGTACACACTGAGTCTTTTTTGCTTCTTAATTTTTTCTTTTTAATTACTGACTAGGCTTTGTGGTTTGATACTTACATCTATGGGTTGCTGTTGGATGGACTGATCTCTGTTTATTGGAATATAAGTCCCAATGCTGCATTCCTCGTTTCACTTCGTTGTCAGTATCCTTATTTTGGCATTTTGTTCCATCAATCTTACTGAGTGCTGTCTGAAACCTTTGTCAACGGCAACCGTGTGTTTTGGGTACAGGGAATATTTTATATGAGTGCACACTGTGTCAATAGTAGTATGTAGTTTGTGGAAGGGAAGCATCTCTATGGTCTTGTCTTAAAGATTCGGATAAACCATTAGTGCGAAAAGTGCTTTTTAAAACGTGAATGAAACGTCCAGTTCATGATGCAACATATTTACTATTGTCAGCTGGAATTCAGCTACAATTAAATAAAAAGTTCCGAGGGCATGTTTTTGGTTTAATCAACAATTGAAAGTGGTTCTTTGATCTTTGCTGCACTTGTGAAACCATTACATAGCCAAGCCCCACACTCAAGACATTTACGTGTGGAGATGTCTGTCTATTGGTAGTTCTGAACTTTAATTACTTTGTGCGTTCATATGATAAGAACAAAAGTTTTCTTTGTATTTTGATAATTCTGTTACTATTAGTGCTTTTTTTTGTGCTAATGATAATGTATTCATAGTGGGTCTGGTAATCATGATCGGGTCGTTCATTCATGCTTGCACTTTTTTAAAGTCAAGAGGGAGATACAAGCAGATATATAAATAAATATGGTTCAGGAAAGTGTCTTAGATCCAACATGAAATAGATCAGTTTGTGACTTTTAGAGGAACGGTACCGAATGTTCTTCCAGCACACTCAAAAGTTAACGTTATAATGTCTACACTGGCTGACCGTCCGCTGCCCTCCTCAGGAGCACCACCTGAAGGCTCACCAGTTCACCCACACAGGACTCAAACCCTACACATGTGACATCTGTGGGCGCTCCTTCAACCAGCGGGCCAACCTACAGCGGCACAAACTGATCCACGAGACGCATCGCACCTTCAAGTGCAACACTTGCGGAAAGCTCTTCACCCAGCCGCAGACCCTCAAGGCACATCAGGTGGTGCATGCGGATCGCAAGCCCTTTGAGTGCACCATTTGTGGTGAGTTCTGCGCTCTCGACTTTGTGGGTTTAAATACCGCTTGCGTATCGGAAATGTTGAAAGTTCTTGTCAGATTGCATTTTCTTAAGTTTTTGTACTTAAAGCTTTGATTAGACCTACTTTTTTCCAAAACCGTCCTTCATCACTCTGAGCTTTATTTGTATAAACAGGATAGAAAGCTTTTATCTTATAGAAGTCTCATTTACATCTGTCATGATCATGTTGTAAAATTGCCTAATATTGTTTCTTTATGAATTTCTCAGTTTTGGAATTCTGCTGAAATGTTTAGGGATACTCAACATTGTTATAGTATCAGTCTTTGAACCTACATGTACTGCTGGTTCAGAAGAAAATTTTCTTTTTGTTGTATCAAATCCGTCACATTTGTGACCTTAAAAATTATCATGATGTTTGAATATATGCTTTGTCTTGAAGGTACGTATCCCCATGCATGTGCATCTGGTTCCTATTGTTCTCAGATGTTATGCAGGCGCATCTTTCTGTATGATGTGCGAGTAGTTGTTGGTTGTACATTTCTACCCCTTTTCTTCTGTCATGTCTAGACTGAATGCTCCCTTGGAAATCAGTATGCGTTCATGAGGAAGAAACTAGGGCTAAATATATAGAAGTGTGGTATTAATACAGGGAAGAGCAGAATGAAATTTTTCAGGTCATAAAATGGCCTTTTTTATTTTGCATATTTGAAGTTAACAGTTAACAGCTCGTTAAAAAAAACACAAACCAAAAAAGGAGCAAGAGACCCCTGTTTGCATGAGCATTGTTAGTTAGTCAGCCCCAAAAGCTTGTTGTGTGTCAACTAGTCTGTTTGCTAATTTCAAGGTCAGGCGATGTTTTTAAAAATGCAAAAAAAGACATGATAAAGATAGATATTTACAGACTTCCAAAAAAGTTAAGGACCACTTGACAGACAGCCCTGATTAAAAAAAAAAACAACCCACCCCCAAAAAGACAGCAAGGAATGTTTCAAAAAATTTTTCTCTGAAAGTGTTAATGGGTTACCAATGGGTAACTTAAAGTCTCTGAAGGGCCAACACCACCACGTGCAGCACGGAAGTCCTCTGGGAATTTCTGCCAAATTTGCTGTTTTTTTATCGACTTGTGTGCAACACCACGGATATTCCTCAGTTGAAATTTCTGGTGCACGTCATAAACGGAGGTCTCGAAATGTGCTCATTTTGGTGGCAATATAATATATAAGCTACTGTTTGCGCAAAATCCAGTTTCGCATCAACATGCCACCAAGACGAAAGCTGAGAGACTTTGATGGTGCCAGGGCTATGGCACTTCTGCAGGATGGAATTGGGGCCCGAGAAGTTGCCAGTAGGCTTGCAGTGTCACACTTTATCACTGTCTGCCTGAGGCAACGCCGTCAAGTCTCTGGATCAGTTCAAGAACACCCACGTGCTGGTCGACCCAAGAAGACCACTCAGAGTGTTTGCAAGTGGTCCTTAACTTATGTTGAAGTCTGTATATTAGTCAAAAGATGGCTGCTTTGAAATCACTTTTAGAGGTACTGAAATTTCTTGGTGGCTGCTTTGAAATTACTTTGAGTTAGAATTACTGAAATTTCTTCTGTAGCCTGTAATCAGTTTAAAGTTCACTTAAACTATTTTGCTGTTGACAGGGGTTTTTGATTTAGGAGATGGCTTTTGTCATTGTAGTTTGTTGGCTGGCTTCAGTTGTCTTTTTGTTTTGGGGTTGGTTTGTTGTTTTTTGCATTTTTCAGAGGGGGGGGGGGGGAGGTTTCATTTTCTATATATCAGTTGGTTTTTGTGATTTTGATTGCCCTTTCAGTTTTTTGTTTTTTTTTATATTTATTTTTGCAGGTAAAGAATTTGGAAGATACCACAACTTGCAAGGCCATATGCACATGCACACAAACTCAAAGCCATACATGTGTTTCTGTGGAAGCGCATTCACCCTCAAAGGTTCGTTCTTTTCTTTTAGGGGATTTCAAAGTTTTCATGCTGTGGCAAGTAACTTTCATGATTAGAATTTTGCTCTTGTGTAGTGAAGTTTCTTCTTCTTCCTAGTTTCAAACTTTGGTCTTTTATGTTGACATTTTCTCAGGGTGCTGTTTTCAATAATAGGGCTTGAGGTTCAACTTCTTTCCCCCCCCCCAAAAAAAAAGAACCCAGACTAGCTTAATGACAAGGTATCAGGTACTAACTTATGGAAAGGACTTGTTCAACGTACTGTTTACAGACTTTGTTTGAGGTTTTTCCTTCTTCAGTTTGTATTTTTATTTTTGTCTTCTTGCTTTTTGCCACCATGAAGCCATTTTATGATTTAAAAATATCCTTCTTGGGTATCTTCATTGTCACTAATATTAAATTAAGGGATGGGGGGATTGCGCGCACTCGTATGCTGTGATGTCTGATGCAGAGGTTGCATCCTTTCCCTGTGCTTTATCTTTGTCCTCCATGCAGCTCTCTTTCTTGCTTGTATATCTACGAAAGGTCTATCAGAAAACTGTTCCCCAGAACTACAGTGTGCGAGGAATGCATTTGAACTGAGCTTTTTGTGTCTTGCAGAACTTTGCACTTATAAATCCTTCCGCTCTTTGAAATAATGGTGACCATTATGAAATCTGGTTTAACAATATACTTGAAGAATGTATGTTGAGCATCGTATTTAGTGTTGTATTTTTGTATTCTCTCAGGAAACCTGAACCGTCATAAAAAAGTGAAGCATGGCCTCAATGAGACCACAGATGTGATGGAGGAGGACGCAGTCAACTTCTTGAGTTCCCTGTCGGAGCGAGCCCGAGACGACTCTGGACCACTTGACGGTGACGGGGAGTGTCTGAGCCCGGGGGACGGGGGAGACAGCGGGGACGGGAAGCTCAGCCGCAAGGGACGCAAGTCCATCCCCCGTAAAATCACTCAAGGAGAAGAGGAAGAGGGGGCCTACCCGCAGGGGGCGGGGGCTCCCGGGGAGGCGGGGATGCCACAAGATGGTGCTCCAAAACCATTTGTCATCCAGAACCCTGACACGGACGAGGAGGAGGAGGGGGGCACGGACCAGGGTCATCACCCCCACCACCACCAGGGGGATCTCCACAAGGACGCCGTCAACGGGGTCATGATGGAACAACCTGGGATGGGAAACCCCATGATGAACTTTCAGCCTCTAAACAACGCTGGATTAGGCCAGCAGCTGGAGGAGGGGGAGATAGCCATGACGCGGAAGAGGTTGTACGAGGAAGAGGTCAACGACATGGTGGACAAAAGACCTCGGAGACAGTCGCAGCGCCGCTCGCCCAAGGTTCAGGCTGGTGACATGCAGCAGTCGGACAGCGATGAGTTCGATGGGGGGAACATGGACAATACTGACGCAGACTGGGTTCCGGGTTCAAAACGACGTTATCGAAGCAAAGTCGATCTGTCAGATAAAAGCAAGATGTCTTGAGCACTGAATTTTAAAATCTTAACCGTTAGTCTCATATGATGTGGATGGTTAATGTGTTTTTATTTCTGATAGGAATACTGTTTTTCATGCTCATAGGGATCAGCAATTGTTTGTGAATTCTGTATATTGTATTTTTTTTTTTTTTTCATGTTGCCTAAAAAGTTGTGAGCTCTCTTGTTTTTGTTTTTTTTTGTTTGTTTTTTTATTCGGAACATGTTACACCAGTTGCCATATCATTTTGTGCTGCGAGCTTGCTCCTCTAAAATGTGAAGTCATTGATATGCTGTTCTAATTGTTTTGTATATTTGGAGAGGCCATAAAAATTTTCAGGTTCATTAGACAACTAAATTTGTGCCAAATGGAAATTTATCTTGTTATCATTAGTGAATCAAAATATTGAGGACAGTCTTCCTTGGAATGGTTTAAGTAGAATTACATGGTTTTGTTTGTAAAGATAAAAATACTATCTCCTTTTTATAGCACTTGAGAATGCATAGATATAACCTGACTAGTACAAAGAACTTATTATGCTCTGGGGAAAGTGCATTTTCTTTTGACGTAAAGAGAGGTAGATATATATTTATGTAAAGCGTCAAAATGCAACTACTACATTTTAATTATAAACCCTTCAGGTGTCATCAGTAGGAACATTGAAGCACCTCATTTTTTAAAGAACTTTGAACAACTATTTTTTTTTGTCTGTGACGTAGAGTACAATATCAGGAAATGATGTGCTTGCTTTGCACATCATTTTGTACATTTCAGTGTCTGGTTCATCTAGGAATGTTCGTTGATTACGTTCCTGGGTTTTTATCAGGGTTTTTCACAATCCTTTTGCTATGGAAGATGCGAACAAAACGCTGGGTTTTCTGTGATGAGGGCACGAGAGCCTGAGCTGCTGTATGTATATCGTGCTCAGTAACGAAACCTTGCCTATTGAAAGGCGAAGAAGAGCTGGCAGACCCTTGTTATTTCCTCTGACGAAATGATTAATTATTTCCTTTAAAGCTCTGAAGACATTCTGGTCAGAATGAATATTGTATTGAAAAGCATACCTTTATGGTACCTGAAAAATGGAGGATACATTGTTCTAGAAGGAAAATAAACTAGGAGGTCTTACTGTTGGCCATCTCTAAGCTGTAGCATAGGAAGACAAGAGCAAAAAACCCCCAACAAAATTCAGTATTGTATGATGCAGGCTGCAAAAATGGACTTTAAAAAAAAATTAGACTGAAGGTGTATACATGGATACTGTTTTGTGAGGGAAGGGGTTTCGAAATTTGTACATCTTGTAATATTTTTGGGGTTATAATATGTGCAATCTTAAGTCAAATCCAAGTGGCTGTTTCTGCCAGTAATGTCATGTTAATTCAAAATTGTCTTCTTATGTAAAAAAAAAATTCTTATTAGAAAAGGAACAGTTCTATGAACTCCACCTTACTTTGACAAAAGGCGTTGGCTGGCTTTGTATCATATTGAAGGGACTCGTGCATGAAAATCCATTGAGACCTGTTGAAAAAATGTTTCTGAAAATGGCTAGCTGACTGTAATGTAAGGATGTGCTTATCTGGGGGG